TTTTCACAGATCTACGTGCCCCAGTGTCTAGTTTCAGAAACTGAAAACCGCAAGTCTGTAGCATTCACCGTTAAAAAGTTATAAGCGAAATATCGGAGTCCATTATATTTTGATACAGATAGTAGTTGTTTTCTTCTGCGCATTTCCTCCCCGTCTCCAAGTAGTGTGCCAAGCTTTTTTACCTTTCGCCACTTCTCCTCTTCTGTTGTACTTTCTCTTTTGAGTAGGGTTACTTCGGTTTTATCGATGTTCATTTCGAGGTTCCATGCTTTTAGTTTATCTGGTGCTTTTGACTTTATTATTTCAATCATTTCGTGTGTTGTACCAATAAAGTCAGTGTCATCGGCGTAGCAAATTTCTGGTGGAATCGATTTGTCACTTACAAGTCGTGGGCATGCTTTTCGAATCTCTTTTAGAGCCAGTTCAAGATAGATGGTGAATAGAACTGGACCTGGGGCGCCTCCTAGGGGAGCTCTGATGTTAGTTTGAATGGTGACGAGAGTGCGTTCTTGATTTTCGCTTGTAGTGTTGTCTTACTTAGTAGGACTTGAACCATTCTCCAGCTGTCTTCATCGACGATGTCCTTCAGCTCTTTCATGAGCTTGTCTCTGTCTATGGTGTCAAACGCGCGGTTCATGCCTATGCCGAGTATTTAGATTTCTTTCTTGACTTTGGTGATTATGGCAATCATCCATTTGTGCGCCCATACGGCGTCGGCTGTGCTTCTAAATGGTCGGAAACCGCTCTGGCTCCTGGAGATGGACTGCTCAACTTTTGGTCGAATGCGTTGAAGCGCGATGATCGACAGTGTTTTTCTTAGTGTTGTGAGTAAAACGATTGGCCTGAGGCTACTCATTTTGCCTGGTTTTTGAAGGACTATGAGAGTGCCGTTATCTAGTTGAAGTTCTTCGTTTTTCTCGAACATTTGATTGAAAGTCTGAGCGATTTGATGATGCAGGTTACTTGAGCCATATTTGAAGAGTTCGTTTTGTATTCCATCTGGTCCAACCGCTCTGTTGTTGCGTAGTTTCTTCGTTGCCTTGGAGACTTCTTTGCTGCTGATTAGTGATTTGAGTGAACCTTGTAGTGTCTGTTGTGAATCGTTGTTAGGTGTTTTGTTGACATAGAACAGGCTAGTGAAATACTTGGCAACTTCCTCGGCTGCTTCGTCTGGTTGGGCAATCGTTTCGTCTTGTTTTTTGATCACGAGAGTTGTAGGTTTGGCTCTGGTGAGGTCTTTGACGGCTTGGAACATTTTAGCGCTGTCTTTAAGGCTTCTATTTCTTGAGTCTTACTGTCAATTTCCTCCACCTTCAGTTGCTTGATTCGTTTTTGAATTTGTTTCAGTATTTTTCTCCTACTTACTTTTAGTTTTTCTCTTCGTGTGCCGTCTTTAGTGTTACTTATTTGGATCCTAAGCTTTTGTTGTTCCGCTGAGAGTTGTTCAACTATTTGACAGTGCCATTTCGACTTTGATTGTTTAATTATACCGATTGTTTCTTTGGCGGTTGTTATTATTGCTTGTTTAATTTCATGCCATTTCTCTGTTGTTGTTTGAGTGTCGAACCTGTTTGATATCGTTTTGTCGAGCTCAGTTTGGTATTTGAGTCGGTCCTCGGCGTTCGTGGCTAATCTCGATACATTGAATTTCTTCATTTTCGGTGGATTATTTTGTTGGTTACTTCTCTCGAAGCTGGATTTAATTACGGTTTTGGTGACAACTATTCGGTGGTCTGAATCGACTGTAGTGCCCGAGTAGCTTCTTGCATTCATGACGAGGTTTATTTGTCGTTTTGGGACGAATATAAAGTCGATTTGGTTGTATATCGGAATGGTTCTATTAGTGTTTGCGTCGAGTCGGTGGCCTGTCCACGTTGTTCTGTGAGAGGCTTTGTGTGTGAATATTGTGTTCGTCGCTATTAAATCGTGTGTTTCACTAAATTCGACAAGTGATTGACCGTTTTTGTTTCTTCTTCCTCTTCCGTATCGACCTATATAACCTCAAGAGGTTCCCTCGTCAGTAACTGGAAACAAATCGTTAGTTTAATGACTACAGAATTGACTGATACACCGACATTTTCGCAAACGACATTTCCTCGAATTTTTCATAGTACATATTTGGGTATTTCTTGCAGTATGTAGTGAGAGGTGAGGGTATGGACAGTGCGAGAGGATGTATCTACATTTCCGCGAACTCACATTACGGCGACAATAGATCCGGCACGACTCTTCCACAAATTTTTGAAAGTACATTTTAAACAAACTAAACTTTAAAAAACTAACGAAACAACTGGTATTACTGGTGAATATACTCATTATTAAAATTTTATTACAGCTATATTTTCAACCAGTTAGATATCAGATAAGCACTGGAAAAGCTCAAGAAAATTCATACAACATCAAAACAATATGTTCTTTGTGAAATTACTTTTCGAACACACTCTCACACTGCCCACACCCCCACCGCGCGCTGTCAGAAATACCCCAATGTGTACTACGAAAAATTCGCGGTAATGCCTCACCCTAATATCGTGTTTTGTACAAGCCCGTACATGTATCATATTAGTAATCACAGCTTAAGTTTGGGGGCGTACACAAAACAATTATCACACTATTAAAGCGACAGGTAATAGTATTTTTGATTATTCTCTTATTATGGCAAAACGTTACAGAACAGAACTAAATTCTTACAGTGCGATGGAAGACAAAAATAATAATACATGTAAGTTGGAGAACATCTACACACATGTTTTTTTCAGTCTGCATGAACTAATTAGTTCCGTTTAAAATAATTTACTGGATTTAAATCTGGGAATAACAACTTTTTCAAACGAGTATAGTTAATATGTATGACTATTAGAATTTAGTAACGTCTCAAAACATTAACGATCATGTGAAAGTGATTTATTTTTGAGGCAATAAGTAGAAGTAGACTAGTAAATCAGATACATTTTTTATTGTTATCATAGGTGTGTATTAGCAGTAAAACATACCTTCAAAAAGACATTTACTGTGTTTTTATATCAATTGAAATGGGTTTTTCATGCTGCAACTTAACACGTGCAATGACTTTTTTTGAAAGTTTTTCCTTTAGCTTTTGTTGATACTGTGTAGTTTCTTTTTTTCCTTTCTGTAGTATTTGCTTCACGTTGGGGGAGAACACATAAAAACAAACTTTTTATAATATTCAAAGTCTGTCAGTCTCATGCAGAAAAAAAATAGAAATATGGGTATTTTATTTAAGAGAGGGTCTTCTCATTTAGATTCTTTCGCAAGTCTTCATAGTTTATAAAGGATACTTCCAAGTATTTGTCCTAAAGTTTTTTCGACGTACTGGCAGCATACGACTGAGAAAAAAATGAACTACTTAAAAAAACGTTGTTAAATTAGTGAGTACTAGTCTATTATTCAAAAAATCCTGTCCATTCATCATTAGTCATAATAACTTCGTTCATCTATAGATCGGTAGAGAAATGAGTAGTGGATATTTACTACGAGAGAATTTATAAAAAATTTTGTTTTTTTTCTATTATTGACTAACTAGAGCTAATTTATGTTAATTTAGCCTACTCTACTAGCTTACGGTACGTCCCATTTGCAATAAAAATTTTGCACACACTGTCAGTTTTTTGTTTTTGTTGAGAATAGGCAAAATGATGCCTACTGAGAAAGAAATTGGCAAAATTCTGATGAATATCACAAGTTTTAACTAATTCATGTATATATCAAATCTTCATTAATATCAATTTTTGTTTAGTGTATCAAAATAGAGGAGAAGTGAGTGATTTGAATGAAAAGCAGAAAGAAGTCGAGTCATTGCCAAAAAACCAACTTTGTTCTTATGATCTTGAGAGTGATAAGTTACAATCAAGAGTTATTGTTAAAAATGAAGAAAATGTATTTCCATTGACTACACCAGCAGCCAACCAATCTTTGGGATTATGTAATGATTCAATGATATTAACCAACATTCATCCAACCTATCATAATGTAACGAGTATTAATGATCACTCTTCTCAGACGTTCAGAGACATCAAACCATTATTTAAACATGAAACAATCCCATTATTTGATACATGTCTTCCTAATGAAGATGTGGAAAGTACTAATTCCTACAATGAAAGTTTAACTAGTAAAATTCTCTTGGTATCAGTCGATATATCGAATGTATTTTATTATGCTGAACATGGTCAGTTCGATGAACTACATAAAGTATTGCAATTCCACTATAAACAGGCAGTACAGATGAAAAACGTAAAAGGACAGGTGATTTGATGATACAATTAGAGATATTATTTTATTAACTTTTTCATGATTTTGTTTTAGACTCTCTTACATATCGCTGTTATACAGTCCTTTGCCTATGTTTGGGTTCGCTTATTACTTATGAGAGGAGCAGATCCATGTGCTCAAGACAAAGATGGTTATACTTCGGTACATTATGCAGTTGAAAAAGATGATTTGGAAATGTTAAAAGCACTTACTATTAGATTTCATCCCAAAGTTAAAGTTTCATCAGAAGTAGAATTTGACAAAATACATGAAAACTGCACCAAATCATTAACGTTAACAGAAAATTTTGGTAAGACTTTTGAAGTTAATCCATACTTTCTCACTTGATATAAACGAAGTTTCTTCATCTAGGTATGACTGCAATTATGTTGGCTTGCTACAAAGGAGCGATTAAGTGTATTACCTACTTACACGAACAACAATTAATTGATAATATAAATCGCACGGTAGGTTATAAGCATCCATTATTTAAAGTATGTAAAGTCATCTTTTACGTTCCAACTCAGGACTTTTCTTGACACTTCTACTGAATGTTAGTGATAATATGAAAAAGTTTTTAAAAGATTTTATACACGTGAAAATGTAAAGAACAATATATACTGAATTAGTGTAAGCTGAAATTCTACTTTATACAGTTTTTAAACGTGTGTCTATGGGATGTTGAATCAGGTCAGACTAAGTTTGACGTAAATAATGACAAGAGGAGCCTCTTTTCTGATCAGTTTAGTAATAGATATTGTCCATTTTTCTAGGATATTTTTGATGATACATCGTTGCATTATGCTGTGGCACATAACAATAAACATTTGACTGAGTTTCTGGTAAACAATTGTCGGGCTGATGTCAACGGTGGTAATACAAAGCGTCCAAGTGCATTGGATATAGCTGTTTTTAATCAAAATACAGAACTCAAAGAATTATTAGTTTCACGCGACTGTAAATTACGTTCTCCAATCAAGCGTCAGGGTGAAAAACGTAAAACATCGGATGCTGAACTCCTTAACTCGGGAATGAAACATTTATCAATCGAACCATTAGAATGCAGAACCAGTCCTACTCTCCATAAAAAAATGTTACCCATTGACGAACAAAAAATCAATAGTTTGAAAAAAACAGCTTTAGAACAAATAGAAATAAAAAATTATCCGAATGCACTAAAACTTCGACGAGAAGAACATGATCTTTTAGTGAAATATTACGGTCATATACATGCTGATGTGGCAAGATCCTGTCATGATCTGGCATTTGTTTATCATTCAATGGATAATTATCAAAAAGCCTTGATAAACTATAACAAATCATTATATGTAGTCGCTCAGTTATCTCTATCACCACGTGAATATCCATATATACCCAACTGTTATGCTAATATAGGTCTTATACATAGTATTCAAAACAGATTTAGTGAAGCAATTAGAAATTTTAATGTGGCTCTTCTAATACGACAAACTTTTTTCCCAAAACAAACTATTGAAACGGAAAGAATACAACAAATTATACAGAGAGCGCAAACTCAAATAGAATAAATAATTTTGTATGGAGTACACTAAAGCGCAACAAGATCTGGATGATGACCGAATGACTATTCTACAAGAAATATACCGCTAGATGATTTATAAATCAATGATGGCAGTTAATTTCTGTTGGATAAGAACATACAACACTAAATCACAGACATGCAGAGATATGTTGTAAACACATAAAAACTTCTATTTACTCTTTATAATAAGCACTTGTTTATTTTGTTTTGAAATAAACTGCATTTATAACACTTTGTATTCATTACATGTTCTGTTCAAACGAGACAATGTCTCGAGAATAATTATTTTATTACTCGACTTAGCCCTCTACAGTGTGAATTCAAATGAATATCGAATGAAAAATCAGTAGTGAGTGTTTTTCAAATTCATTAAGAGATGCAAATACTGACAATGTGGACTCTCTCGCACCATCTGATGAAATGCTGGACGACGAATATTCTAGACTATGAATAAGAGATCTTTATGTGGTTATTATAAAGAAAACATTCTACAGTCTGACGTAGAAATTTTACTTCTGAAAGTCCCTAAACATCATCAAAATGTACAACTATATGTAGTACATCTATCGCATGTATGTACATTTTTTGTCTGCGCACTGATGTATGTTTTTGCAAAGGATGGTGCTTCTTTCACGGAATTTGAACTTTTGTTTGGTTTCAGTCAAGATTTTTCTAAAACCAATGATAGATTCATAATCAACACGTCAGACTGCATCAGAGTGTATGAGACAATGTGTTTTGACTAAAATGAATGGCGATCGAAACTATCTTAAGAGTCGTTCAGAGAAAAAAACTTTTTCAATTTTTCATAGAAAAATTGACATTGAGTTTCTTGCCTGAGGTAGATAGGCTGAAGTCTCCTATTTCAGGATATGAGTCATTTGCAACTTTATTGTACAATTGAGTTTTTGTCGTATTTTTAAAATTACTCCGGTTTCTGAAAACGGATTTCGAAATTCTTTTTCTTGTTTTATCGCTGTTTGCTTGCCTCACTACCACAGAAAATCTAAGCTCGATATCTTAACAACTCACCGAGATAAACCCAGCAAAAGTCGGAAAAAACGTGTTTTTTAGATGAGTTATTGAGAGAAAAGTAAGGTTTTCTAACAAAAGAAGTAACGAAAAGTAAAAAAGAAATAGTACGTTTTGTAGAGCATTTAATGCTCTATCAAACTGTGTACCGTCATGCTTGTTTTGTTGTTTTGTTTATGCTCGTCTATGGCGAAAATTGTTTTACAAACAACTTGTAGATCCAGATTATTGCATTTAAAAAAGTTGAATGAAATTCAACCGATTATTTCTGAATAGAAAAGTTTTCTTTTTGCTTCGTATGTATCATACTCTCACATCGGACCTTCAGTCTGCTGTCACTATGCTCTTCGTGCTTGCTTAACGTTTTTCTCAGAACGTGGTTTTAGTGGAGCAACATTGTATCTCCTCCAAGATGATTCATCATAAAAGCTTCATTTTTTCATATTTTAAAGGTAAGACATTTATCTAAAGTTTGATCCGCAGCAATTTTTGCATTTCCTTTTCCGGGCAGAGATAAGTGGCAAATACTCCACCGAATTAGGATTATTTTCAGAGTTCTGATTTGAAATCCGTGTAGGAAATGAACGGAAACGAAATTCAAAAATCTGTTCAGGTCAAATTTTAGATTTAGGTGTCTACGTTCATTTGAGACCACCCACAGCTTTCTGCTCCTTCCAATAACAAAACCTTAACGCTTTTGCTAAGGGCTTGTTTTGCCCGTTGCCCCGCAATAACACGGCAATACGTGAACGTTTCGAGCTCAAATGTTTAGCATAAGCTAGTTGGACAGTAAGCATTAGTCAAGGGTCCTTAACTTGGACATCATAGGGCGAATTTTCAGAAAAAGATAAATTCTTGTAAAATATTTGTTATTTTTAGTTTGAAGATTTAAAATGATTCATGAATGATAAATATCTATTAAAAAGAACATTTAATGTTCATCTACTATGCTATTAGGATGAACAGTTGGTTAGAGAGCTTAAAATGCCTACTATTCGAATTTATACCATTTTTGCCAGTATCAAAGGTTTTCGAGCGATTTTGAATAAATTTTCTAAAAGATCTACTAAAATTTTGATATTAAAAGAGAATTCCGGAACCAATGAAATGAAACAGGTGTATGTTGGTACTGAAGCGCGTTGGGGATTCTACCATTGATTATTCTTTAAAAAAACATTTTCTCTTCCAGGGTACTCTACCAGCATCCATCCAGTCAAAATTATGGTTTCGTACTCGTCACAATGCAAGAATAGTCATAATAAATAAGTTTTTTATTGTTCTTCTGTTTTGTTAAAAATGCAGATTCAAAGTTAAAAGTAACGTAGCAAGTTATGGTATGGTGCCACATATATTACCATAAATGTTGGCAAGTAGCAGTCGTATGAGATCTTCTATGTCTCAATCAGATACAAGACTAGAGTTCAATTTGACATCTAATTTCAGTTGTGAACAGGTTAAGTGTTAGACCTTTGCTTAGCTCGGCACTAAGAATTCACAAATGAATAAATATGACACAGTTATTAGTTTTGATGATAGCCCTAGTGAAACTTCTTGTAACCAAGATCTTGACTTCTTGAATTTTTTCAGTAAGATCTTGATTCAAGATCTTGGTAAGAAAATATAAGAATTCAAGAAATTTCAAGAAGTCAAGATCTTGAACAT